GAGGCCCGCGGGGCGGAGCTTGGGACGCGGCCGCGTTGGCCGAGCCGGTTGGCCTGTGCTCCGTGGATCCGTCCCTCGCGCAGTGGGGCCGCTCCAGAAGGAAAAGGGGGTGGCGGGGATGGCAGGTCTCCACCATCATGAGACGGCTAATGGAGAGGTAGCAACTGCGGCCCCTTTAATTGATTAGATTTCTATTCCATCGTTCATTCGGAAGGTCAAGGCAGTGGGCATGGCACTTCCTCCTCTTTTTCCCCACAACACCCTGTGAGGGAGGTTGGCTAGAGAGACGGTGTCTGGCCCAGAGTTACCCAGCGAGCTTCCGAGGTAGAAAGCGGACAAGGAGCCGGATCTCCCCTTTCCACACTTTAGCCTCTTCTTTGCAGCCATCGGACCCCCTTAGATAGCTAATAATTGAAGCCACAATTTCTTACTTTTTTGGAGTGTGGGATGTCGATGAAAGCTGTCTTGTGGAGTCTAAAATAAGCTTATCTCAACTGCCACCCAACCCCCCCTGCAACTGATTTTCCTTGTTTCACCAGGACTCCTTGTGTCCTCTGAACATGGGCAAATGGCTGGTATGGTTAGGCAGCCATTGTCTACCCACCAGTCGCACCTCTCCTCCAGAAAGCAGGCCAGATATCTACCTGAGCTGGATAACAATGAGTTTTATAGCATCATGCTGGCAGATGCTCCAAAGCGGCAGGAATGTGCTCAGGAGAAAGATGGAAAAGAGATGACAGATATGTGAGGAAGGCAGCAACCAGGGTATCTGCGCATGGGGAAGGATGTCAAAAAAGTTAAAGCAGTGCTCCTGGTCAAAGCCCTGCTGCTCTTTTTACATATGTTGCATGTGCAATGCACATTAAAAAAAAGAGTCAGGACTTTGATTGCCTAGTCATAGCATGATCTTGACTTTTATGACCTCCCCTGCAGACATCCCTGGCAATGGCAGTAAGGAGGGGGAGGGAATAAGCAGGTAAGCAATGCCGATGCTTTAGTGCCACATATGATCCTAGGCAGGGAATAGGAGGCCAGGCAAACAATTAATTGCAGTAGCGTTAACCACAGATTACCATGTAATGTAACATTTAAAAGTCAATTTAAATTTTAAAGTGATTTTAAAAATTTTTAAAAAGAGAGTTCCTGTCTTTGGGCCTTCAGATAAGTACAAACAGAGAACAGAACTGAAAGAATATTTGGGATACCAATTCTTTACTTAATTTCCTGCTATACATTAGGAAAAGAGGAAAATGAGACAAGACGCAGTTGAATTTGGGCATACTTCCTTCTAAAGAAATCCAAGTCCTAGATAAGTATGTACCTCTGAATTCTCCCTGCTTGGGAAAGTGGGGCACACATAAAAATCTTTTGGTCCAAAAGGTTCTCTTCAAATGACTTGATTCTCCATTATCGACACAGCTCTCACTACTGTTTAGATTCCCAGAAGAATCCAATGCACCAGCTATGATGACTGAGGCAAAATGAATCTAGTGTAAACAATAATTAGCTGAACCCGTGACTTATATAATTTTAGAGGGGTTCTTTGGGGGGGGGGTAAGAATTACATGAGCACATACTCAGAGGAATCACCGTTTCATTGATGTGGCCTAGCCGTTGCCTGTTAGTCTTGACTTTGATTTGTAAATATGACCCTTAGCATGTGGGAAAATATTCAACAGCTCCCTTGCATCTTTGAAATGTGGGTTAAATGACTCAGATCAGGAAATAAACAATGGGATAACCTGGTAAAACAAGGAACAATAACAAAAATTGCTTTTGCTTAACATGGTTTCTTTGCTTTTTATACTTATTCAATCCATGTGCCTCTCTCAGAAACCTAGCACCTTTCCTAAACATACTGCAAAATTGGAAATGTTAGTGTGACAGGATAAGGAGATTATTAAATATATGGGGAACTATCATATTGCTGACTTTATTTATTATATTTATATTCTGCCACAATCTCACAGGGCTCTTGGTGTTACCAGTATACAAGCATTAAAACATCCACAGTCCAATGAGAACCAAAAAAATGTAAAGCACCCAAACCAGAAAATTAAAAAAAAAAAGTTGATGTGCTCCCACTGGTGGATACTGGATCATACACGGGCCACTGCAATTTGGACTAACTGATGCTTCCAAGTGGCCTTTAAAAGCAGCCCAATATAGAGGGCTTTGCAGTACTCCAATGAGCAATGATGAGGGCACGTATCACTGTAGCAAGATCCTCTCGCCCCACGAAGGGCTGCAACTGGTGTACCAACTAAGTCTGGGCAAATTCCCGTCCAGCCACAGCTTCTACCTGCTGTTCAAGCAGGAGTCAGGAGTCCAGGGGGACCCCCAAGTTGTAGACCAGCTCCTAATATGGGTAGCACTTCCCCATCACAAGACACCACTGAAGCTGCCCAAGCATGCTGATAGACAAACAGTAACTCCAGCTTGCTAGGATTCAATGTTAGTCTTTAATGTAAATTACATCAGATATACTTTCTGTCCTTGCCCTGTCTACTTTTTGGTATGCTAGACCATTTAAAGGTCAAGGGTTGCCCTTGGTCCAAAATTCAGCTACACCGCTGAATTCATCAATTCAGGTCCAGACCACCACCACTACTAACTTCTTTTACTACTACTACTACTACTACTACTACTACTACTACACTTATATCTCATTCTTCCTCCAGAGAGCTCTTGATAGTGTACACAATTCCCAATCTATCCATTTTATGCATGTAATAAAACATGTTTATTATGAGGTAAGCCAGACCAGAGTCATCCAGTGAGCTTCAAGGCTGAGCACTGATTTGAACCCAGGTTTTCATAGGGCTGTTCCAAATTTCCTTCTGTCCTTGGGTGTGGCATCATATGGTACCGCTCCAAGATCTAATCCAGCACTTCTAAGAGCAAAAGAGCTTCCGGATTGGTATGCTCTTTCAGACAGTCTTAATTTATATATACAAACTGAGATTACGCTCACCATCTAAGAAGTGGAAAGGGGCAGCAGGGCAATGCCAGGAGAGGCTTTATACCCAAAAAACTTAAATACTAATGAAAGGGGTAAATTGCTTTAGAATGCTTTAGCAGAAGAAACCAGCATAAGCCATCACACTTGCTGGTTCTACTGTAGAGGGAACATGAAACACCTTGCCCTAGATTGGTTATAGCTCCAGTAGTTAAAAAAATAATGTGGGCACAGGATGTATGTATGTATGTATGTATGTATGTATGTATGTATGTATGTAATTAATTACATTTATATGCTGCCCATCTCCCCCAGAGGTTGACTGCATGGCTTACAATTAAAAACCAAGACAATAAAATGATAAAAATATAAATACTCCCTCGGGAAAAATAGTGAAAACTGAAGGAATCAAGATGCTCTATGGAAATAGCATCAAGAGTCTGGATGAAGAAGATCACTACAAATACCTGGTCATTCTTCAAGCTAACAACATCAAGCACATTGAAGTCAAGAAGAAGGTTAGTAGTGAATACATCATGAAAGTGAAGAAGATCTTAAAGTCCAAACTCAGTGCCAGAAATACCATCAAGGCAATTAACACCTGGTCAATTCCAATCATTAGATACACAGCTGGAATACTGGACTCAAACAGAACTAGGAGCCCTGGATAGGAAGACCAGAAAAATAATGACAATGAATCATGCCCTTCTGAAGGACAGTGAAGAAGATGCACTGAAGCTAGTACACCATGAAGGCTTACTGAATACTGAAGAGACCAAACTGGCCTATAAGAAAGAGCACATGAACAATAGGAAAGAGACATGGCAAGGCAAAGTATTACGTGGCAAAGATAACAACAAGAACTGGCAATGGCTAAGAGCAGGAAAGTTGAAGAAAGAGACAGAGGGGCTAATTCTGGCTGCACAAGACCAAGCCTTAAGAACA